CGAGAACCGAGAGTCCGGGGCAGGAAATGAACCAGGAGGACTGCGGGTGTGACGATGTGGTTTGAAGCGCTGGCATTGAAGGCAGGCGCGAGCCCAGGTCCGAAGATCTTTGTTTACGCGTGGCCAAACGAAACGTTCGGTGACCAGTTTCGAAGATGCACTGTTACCGGAATGTGATAGTGAGTGCAGTGCGTCAAAGTCTGTGCCTCTGAAGGAGACGGGTACGAGATGTCTAGGACAACCTGTGGAAGTGTCACAGAGGATGGTTCCTTCCGTGGTTTGGAGAGGAACAGGTTGCACGTGCAGCGAAGTGGACTGCAGAGTGCGCTGTATCTCTTCGTCTTGAGCCTGAGCCGATGCCACTGCGACAAGGTCCACGGTAGGCAAAGACTTCAGTGTGAGGTTGACGCGTGAGAGAGCGTCGGCGACGGGATTGTCGACACCTGAGTCATGACGTATGTCAGCAGTGAACTGCGTGACAAAGTCTAGGTGTCTTGTTTCCCGCGGTGAGTATTTGGCGCTAGCAGAGTTGAAGGCAAAGATAAGGGGCTTGTGGTCAGTGTAGACCGTGAAAGCGCGGCCTTCAAGTGTGTGCCGGAAGTGACGAATGGCTAGGTAATCGGCAAGCAATTCTCTGCCAAACGTGCTGTAGCGGGATTCCGCTGGCTGCAGGCGCTTGGAGAAGAACCCAAGGGGTTGCCAGTGCCCACCAACGTGTTGTTGGCGGACGGCTCCTACCGCGACGTCTGAGGCATCAGTCGTAATAGAAAGAGGTGCAGTCGATTCGGAATGAGCTAGGAGGGCTATGTTGGAGATAGCATCCTTGAGCTCGGCGAAGGCTGTTTGTGCCGTGTCAAGGAAAGCGAAATTAAGTTCATTTCCTCTGAGTAAGTCAGTCAGTGGCTGCATAAGCTGAGCGCAGCGCGGAATGAAACGTCGATAGTAGTTGACCAAACCACAAAATCGATGAAGGTGCTTGAATGAAGTCGGAGCTGGGGAGTTTTTGATTGTCTGGATCTTATCAGGAAGGACTTCGATACCAGACGATTAAACGAGGTGGCCTAGGCATTCTACCGTTGATTTGCCGGGTTCGCACTTAGTCGTGTTGCCTGTGCCACCGTGTTGTGTCATGCGCTGGAAGAGAGTTCGAAGATGCTCGAGGTGCACTTGTTCCGATGAACTGGCTACTAAGATATCATCGAGGTAGGAATATGCGAAGTCTAGGCCACGAGTGACATCGTGGATGAAGCGTTGGAAGGTTTGTGCGGCGTTGCACAGTCCAAATGGCATCCTTAAATACTCAAACAAACCGAAAGGAGTGATGCCGGCTTTTTTGGAATGTCATTGTCTTCCACAGGTATCTGGTGATAGGCGCGAACCAGATCGATCTTGCTGAAGATCGTCTTACCTGTGAGGCATGCGGTAAGATCCTGCATGTGTGGGATGGGATACCTAACTGGGACGGTTAGGCGATTGAGTGCGCGGTAATCACCGCAAGGACGCCAGTCACCAGATTTCTTGGGCACCATCTGTAGGGGCGAGGACCAAGGGCTGTCAGAAGGGCGGATTATTCCAAGTTCAAGCATGTGCTCAAACTCCGCCATAGCCACCTTTAGTTTCTCAGGCGATAGTCGGCGTGGACGGCATGACACGGGTGGGCCATTCGTCCGTATGTGGTGCGTGACTTGAGCTGCCACGGGCAAAGCTGCGTTCATTGGCTGGACGAGCTTGGGATACTGAGAAAGGAGATTAGCGTAGGCTGACGAGGTCTGGGGATGCATAGACTGGGGATATAGATGTGACATCGGCGGTGATGCCACGTACACTGAGTTTTGTTGCAGCGTCGACTATCATCTGGCGTTTCGCATCGACCAAGAGGTCGAAATGCCCGAGAAAGTCAATGCCGATGATAGCAAAGGGGACTGCAGCGACAGTGATTACCCTGAGGAAAGTGCGCCGAAGACCTAGGTTCAAGGTAAGCGACCGATGACCTTAGGTGGCTAGTGGGGTGCCATTGGCGGCACTGAGGCTTGTCGAGAGAGAAGCGGTAGGCTCACCTGGCATAGGGGGAATGACGCTGAATTCCGCCCCGGTATCAACTAAGGACTGGGTATCGGAGTCACAATCCCTAATGTAGATGAGACGACTTTGAGCTTTGCCGACTTTCGTGGCCAGTACAACCCGGCGTGGCGGATCATCTATAGCGGAGTAGCTGCACGGCTGTGGCATCACTGTGTATCTGCTGATCAGTCGACATCACACTTCCAAGGTTGCTGTAACGGGAGGTGGTTACCAATACTTCAGCACTCATGCTGATTCGCGACAATATTGAAGGTTGCACCTCCGGTGAAGGCTGAAAGAGACAGGCAGTTTTGCTTGTGTTGATGGTGAGCCCGAATTTGGCCGCTGTCGAAGCCAGAGCACTAGACATGTGCTGCAACTCATCCGCGCTGTGTGCAAACAACGCACAGTTGTCAGCAAACAGCAACATACGGATAGTTGTCTCACAGACTAGAGTTCTAGCACCGAAACGACGGATGTTCAGCAACCCACCATCAATACGGTGCTCCACACGAACACCATAAGCATAAGCGGCATCAAAAGCACAGGACACCATTGCATAAGATATATATTAAACAGGACAGGAGCTAAAACACAGTCTTGCTTCACACCAGAGACAACTACAAAGTCGTCCGAGGTCTCTCCACTCAGCTGCACACTCGCTCGAATACCCCTGTGCGGAAATTCCATTAAACCTACAAACTTACGCGGGCAACCAAACTTACCCAACACCAACCACAATGCCTCGCGGTTCACCGTATCAAAAGCCTTGGTGAAATCATCAAAAAGCGCGTACAATGGCTGGTGTTGTTCTCTGCACTTCTCTTGCAACTGACGAGCCGCAAATACCATATCTATAGTGCTGCGACCCGAACGGAATCCGCATTGCTCTTCCGCCACATTCGGTTCCACTACCTGACTGACTAAACGGATGAGCAGGATTCGGGCAATCACCTTGCTTACACAACTTAGCAAGTTGATGCCGCGATAATTCGTGCAACATTGCTTGCTACCTTTGCCCTTGTACAGTGGTAGCGCAAGGGCATCCTTCAGCTCAGGAGGCACCTGCTGCTCAATCCATACGCGTTGCACCAAGTGGTGCAGCGCAGTCAACAACGCGGGTCCACTGTGTTTCAATACTTCACGCGGGATCCCGTCGGCCCTGGCACACTTACCATTTCGCAGGTGAGCAAGTGCTCTCTGCGTCTCATCCAGTGTCGGCGTGTCCGCCAGCTTCGCCTTCACATCATGCTGCTTCAGGCCGTTAAATATAGGCCAGTCGATCTTTGAACGGTTGTTCAAGAGACAGTCAAAGTTTTTTCGCCAGATCTGCATTATGTCTGCAGTCTGGGTGCAGGTGGCGCCTGAACTACTATAGATCAGTGTCCTCAGAGGCTCCAACCTCGGTCCATACACCGCCTTCAAGGAGTCAAAGAATTTCTTGTGTTTGCGGCTCTTGGTGTAGCATTCCATCTGCTTCGACTTCTCTGTCCACCATGCCTTTTTAATGCGACGGAGCTCTCGGGTCAGTTGCCCTTGAAGTTTGCGAAACTGACTATTCTTTCCCAAGTCACTGGGGTCTGCAATATGTGCAGCAAATTTTGCATTCTTCTCACACACCAATGTGCTAAGCGTCACATTGTTTTTATCAAACTTATGGGGAAGCTTACGGTTGGCGCGCCCGATGGTCTCCTCGGCGGCACGACCATCGCAATGGAGTATTAATGTAGAGCATATATATGCGGTTCATGCGTTCAACTAGTCCGTTTCCCTCCGACTGGTACGCAGTCGTACTTGTCCTCCGGGTACCGATAAGGTGACACATCTGGCTCATGGACATATTCTCGAAGTTGGCTCCGCGGTCTGGGTGTAGCTGATGGGTGATCCCCACCTTGCCACCCATTTGCTGAAGAAAGCTACTGACACACTCCAGATGTCGACATTTAGAAAAGGAACTGCTGCACTCTAGTTAGTAAAGTAGTGAACTATATCAGGTACGTGACCACGGCCTCCAGCAGTCTCTGGCATTGGGTCCATTGTTTCGATGTCTACGATCGCGATCTGAAAGCCGGTCCTCATTGGTTGCAGTGGACCAGGACGAGTGGTTGTAGGGTTTTGATCCTTGCACAATCAGCGAAGGACTGGCAATAGAAAGCAATGGCCCGCCGTAGATGGGGCCACCAAAACGGACGTCGAATTGCAGCCGCCATTTTATTCTGTCCTGCGTGTCCTAACACTTCGTGGATCCTTGTGATAATTGTACAAACAATACTCAGTGATTGTTTATGGTTATTCTTTTCACCTTTTTGGTGTAGAATACACACCCGTGAAATTCGAATTCCAATTCTGGTGTCCTTATTCCGAGTCGTGACTAGTTTGGGTGGTGTTCAATTATCTTCCGATTCAGAACATCATAATTGGCGTCGCAGTCAGCGTTTATTTCCAAATGAATACAACCGTCGAATTCTTAAACGTAAATGTATCTCCCCGGGACTTACAAGAATACATGGAGAGATTCGAGTTATGGTGGCTCACAAAAGATGACCCTCGCGAAGAGCTTAAATCTGCCCACTTTTTAACTGTTATTGGACGAGAGGCGTATACCCTTATAAAAAATCTGGCTTACACACAGCTGCCATCGAAATTATCATATGACAAGTTGCGAGACCTCTTTTTATCTCACTTACTACCGAAAAATTTCGTGGTTGCCATAAGAGTAAAATTCAACTTGTTGATCCGTCAACCTAATCAGTCTATTAGTGATTTTATTCTCTAACTTCAATCTTAAGCATCCTCTTGTGCGTTTGGAGACAAACTTGACGAATGCCTCAGAGATCGCCTAATTGCTGGAATAAATAATCCCAATTTATATCGTCAGCTCCTATCACTTCCATCGCCGACTTACAATCACTTAAAATCCATCTGTTTGCCTTATCAGGATGTTTCTGATATTACAAGAAGCCAGACGACTGTTGATCATCAAGGCTTGTTTGGCTCAGCCAGTCGCCGAGTTCATGCCGAGAAGCGAAAACCGTGGCAAATCAACTCTTTCAAACCACACAGAATTAGTCTACCTCGCACCGAGAAATTCAGACGGTTTAAAGGGTGGTCAAGCTGATAGAAAGATTGGACAACGTGTCTCTTGTGGAAAGTTGCATTCACGGTACACCTGCCCGCAACGGAATTCCATATGTCATCATTGTGGGAAAGTTGGACATATTCGTAGTGTTTGTCGCCAGTTCAGACGTTGTAATGTTGTGAAACAAGTTGATGATTCCACAGAGAACTTGCCCGGCGATTTTCATTCGCTGACATTGGCTGTGAATACTAGTGGCCATTTATACAACACTTCACGTTTCGGAAATGGTATGTCACATCGTTTCATAGTTGACACCGGTAGCGTAGAGTCTCTTATTTCTAAAATGAGTCTCGATCATCTGCACCGTGACGTTCAGTTTGATTCTACACTCATCACTATTAAAGGTATTACTGGTCACACCATTCCGATGATAGGATGTTGTACATTACCAGTGATAGATAAGCATTTGAAACTTATGGAGTGTAAATTTGTTGTCATTCGTCAAGGCTCGTCCATACTCGGTCTTAAAGTTATGCAGGCACTTAAAATAAGTGTCAATTTTCTGTCACAAACTGATACTGACACCCAAATTCGTGATTTATTACACGATTGTTCGGTTACCTCTGGTGGATTGAGAATTCCGCCTGTTAAGTTGGAAGTGGCCGGTGATCCAGTTTTCTGTAAACGACGTGTACTTTCTTTTGGACTTAGAGAACCTGTTCGAAAGGTACTTACGTCTCTTTGTGAATCAGGAATTCTCGTCCCAGTACAGAGTTCACGATGAGCCACACCTATTGTCACACCATTAAAGCCGGATGGACAGACACCGAGAGTTTGTGGTGCTTACCGTGTCACTCTTAATACGAAGCGGCTGCAGCGTAGTTGTGTTACGGAAGAACCTGATTCTATTCTCTCGCGTCTACACGGATCCAAGATGTTCTCGAGGCTAGACTTAAAAGATGCATATCTGCAGATACCACTGACTGATGAGTCTAGTGAACTGACCACAATCAATACACCTTTTGGGTTGTATCGCTATAGATTTCTTCCCTTTGTTCTTAATGTGTCGCCAGCCATGTTCCAAGATGTGATGAACTCCATTGTGAAAGATCTGAAGGGTGTTGAGGTCTATCAAGACGATGTTTTTGTACATGCTATTAACAAACCGGCACATTACTACCGATTACTGGCACTTTTGACTCGCTTCAAGGGTGCTAATGTGAATATCAATCATAAGAAGTGCTTAATTAGTGTCCATGAAATCAGTTGTCTTGGTTAGCAGGTTCCGTCTGAAGGATTCAAACCAGATCCTGATCGGATAAAACCATTGGTTGATGTGCATTCCCCCACCAATGTTCATGAGCTACGATCACTGATTGGCGCTTTACAGTACTATTCCAAATTCATTCCTAGTTTTGCATCCATTGCTGATCCTTTATTCACCTTGTTGAATGACAAGAGTTTTGTTTGGTTAGACAGACATGAACATGTTCTTCGGAAGCTTTTAAAAATTCTTGCATCTGGTTGTGTTCTTCACACCTTTTTTCCTAAATTACCTACAGTGCTTTTCACAGACGCTTCACCCACTGGTATTGGGGCTGTGTTAGAACAGAATGGACACCCGTTCTGTGTATTTCCCGTCGACTAAGCAATGCTGAAAAAGGATGTGCTCAGACTCATCGAGAAGCTTTGGCTGTATACTGGGCAGTCCCTAGACTTCACAAATACTTGTTTGGCCTCAGATTTACCATTGTGACAGATCATGAAGCTCTGAAGTTCATTTACAATCCTTCCAGTTCTTTAGCTAAGTCTTCAGCAGCCATGGTAAAAAGGTGGAGTGTTGCTCTTAGTGCGTATAACTATGTAAATAAATAAATAAATACTTTATTCTCGACTAAGCGAGGCACGCCCATGGAGGCATGATCAGATATGTACGACTGTACAAAGATTTTATGGCAACTGTGACAGTAATAGTAGAAAATTGGTCGTATGTCCATGGTAAAAAAAATAAATAAATAGATAGTTTATTCTCAGTTTCATAGAGACGCACCAACTTAGGTATGATCAAGGTTTAAAACTGTTGTGTATCACGATGATACTCCGGGTTCAATCGTGTATAGTTGAAACGGTGTCAAGAAGAGTTGATATGTGAATCTAGTCGACTTGCCAGTATGTAGTTGTGGGCTGTGACTTTATTCAGTGGCGAGTCACATCCGCCACGTCGCAGTGTTGTTAAACAGACATTTGTGGCTTTTTATAGGGAGAACGCTTGCCAGGCGAAAACCCACCACGTCCTGCAACACTGCCGTAAAGCATTTTGAACATTAATGTTGAACTGGCAAAGCCGCTTGACGACTGGTTTCACCTTCGGTTTTTCGCGGGGTAATGGCTTCTAATTTCCTCTGTTAGTTGGACGGGTATTTTGCTCTGGGTCGCCATGATTTTTGGGGTCGCTGGAGGAGAGGGACATCGCGATTTTTTTCTTGTTGTATGTCTAGGTGAGCAAAAATTTTAATTTTTCCGCTGTCCAGATTTTTCAGATGTATACTGTATGTGATTATGAGGATATGTCCAGTTCTCCATACTGGATAAGTGTTATGGTGATTGTAGGTTGGTCCTTGCGGAGTTTTACCATCCTCCATGTCAGTCCTTGTGGGTTGTTCCGTCCGTCTTGGGCCAAAATTGTTCCTCAGTCCAATCCCAGATCTCCAAGATGTCCCGGACCTCAGAGAAAAGGGAAAGTGGGAGACAACCGGGAGAAGACCGCAAGAACAGGCATGGAATTGAATATTGTTAATGACTTGTGTTATAACATTTGGGCTTGAGACAAAAGCATGTACACTGTGCAACAATAATTATGCTGAAAATGTCTTTTGAGTATCCTATAGAATCATTAGCCGTATAGGTGGATTGCTATCGCCTGCGTAGAGACAAGAGCGTTGCGCCAGTAATAAAGTACGAGTATCCGTTTGATATGAGTCGATAGTTGCGTAGGGATAGAGCAAAGAGAGTTAGAATGTTGGTAGTGATTGTCAGGTGCATGCACGTAGTTAGTGTAATCCGAGAGGGGGGCATAATAAGCGAAAATAAATAGGTTGCTGCGAGAGTCTTAAAGCTCAATTGATGGCAGGGCAGCGGAGGGATTGGATGCAGATATTCTAGAGGAGTAAGGGTTATTCAGATACGGGGTGGCTACTAACAAGCACTGGATCATCGGATATGCATGGGGCCAATTGCCATTAGCTACTTCTGAAGAGAAATGCAGAATTTATGACGACCGACAGACGTTGGCGCTAGGAGTGACTCAGTCGCCAGATGCAGCTATTCCAATCGGACGCTTTGTCACTAGTGTATGCCTATAGGGTCGATGAGTGTATCTATAGGCCAGTGAAGGTAAGTGATAGGTCAACAGATCAGCTAAGCTGTGACGCAAACAATCCAAGAGAATGAACATCGTAAGGGGGAGCGAGCTCCGGATATCCGCAGAGTTAAATGGAAGCTATGGCGACTAACTGCTGCTAAGCAGAGATAGTGGCTCTAGGAAAGAATGAATCAGTGGCTGCTGTAGCCATAGTATTAAGACGTCTGTCTACTACTGGATATCTACAGCTTTGTTGAAGAAGTCAACAGGCAAGCGAGGTTTAAGAGTGACATACGGCAGAAGAGAATGAACGCTGGAGAGTCAAGAAGTGGCTCCTTGTAGGCTACATGGAGCCAACAATGTCTAGCTATTGTCAAGAAAAGTTGAGGCGAGTAAGATGAACGACGGATAATGGCGCGCTAGGAGAGAGAAGAGTGACCAGCAATAGAGTTTGGGCTAAGCCTTCAGTAACTAGTGGATCCTACGGTGGCACATAATAGGTAGGCAAACCATCTGAGCTGTAAAGCAAACATTCCAAGTGCATGAATATTGTAAGAAGGGAGCGACTCCCACAGAGCTCCGGATATCCGCAGAGTTAAATGGAAGCTATGGCGACTAACTGCAGCTAAGCAGAGATATTGGCTTTGGAAAAGAGTGAGCCAGTGGCTGGTGTAGCCATAGTATTAAGACGTTTGTCCACTATTGGATACCTACAGTTTCGGTGAAGAAATCTACATGCAAGGGAAGCTCAAGAGAGACAGACGGCACAAGAAAATGAGGGTTGGAGAGTCAGGGAGTGGCTACTTGTAAGCTACATGGAGCCAACAATGATTAGATATTGCCAAGAAGAGTTGACCAGAGTAGGATAACGGCGCGCTAGAAGAGAGATGAATAGCCAGCATTGGAGTTCGGATTAAGCCTTTGGTTACTAGTGGATCCTACGGTGGCATATAATAGGTCAACAAAACATCTGAGCTGTGACGCAAGCAATCCAAGAGGATGAACATTGTAAGAATGGAGCTACTCCTACAGATCTCCGGATATCCGCAGAGTTAGATGGAAGCTGTGGTGACTAACTGCTGCTAAGCAGAGATATTGGCTTTGGAAAAGTGTGAGCCAGTGGCTGGTGTAGCCATAGTATTAAGACGTTTGTCCACTATTGGATACCTACAGTTTCGATGAAGGAATCAACATGCGTGCAAAGCTTTAGATAGACAGACGGCAGAACAAAATGAAGGTTGGAGCGTTAGGGAGTAGCTACTTGTAAGTTACATGGAGTCCACAATGACTAGCTGCTGTCAAGAGGAGTTGTTGCGAGTGGGACGTACGGCACATAACGGCGCGCTAGGAGAGTGAAGGGTGACCAGCAATAGAGTTTGGGCTGAGCCTTCAGTTACTAGTGGATCTTACGGTTGCTCATAATAGATCAACAAACCGGCTGAGCTGTGGTCGAGCACAGAAGTGCGAAGCTCATTCCTCACGTCGACTACTTATCACGTACTGCAAGGATATTTGAAACCGATTCTGAAATGAGTTGTTTACTCACCCAGCCGCTTCCAATCTCTCGTTCTGCCCTTATCAATGATACTAAAAGGTATTATGGGTCATTGCTTTCTGCTGTCAAACGTGGTTGGTCGGTTTCTCTCAAACGGAAGTTCCCACAATTTTATGTGCGTCGTGATGAATTGTGTGTTACACCTGATGGATTACTATGTGTAAATGACCGCATTGTTATCCCGCCGACTTTGAGATCAGCTATTCTAACGGATTTACATTCCGGTCATCTTGGTGTTGAAAAGATGAAGTCTTTAGCTCGATGCTTGTGCTGGTGGCCTGAATTAAATGCAGATATTCGATGAACTGCTTCTGATTGCCCGAACTGTAAACACAAAATTTTACGGCAACCGTCAAAGTGGACACCATGGCCGATGACATGCGAGCGCTGGCAAAGGGTATATATGGATTATTGTGGACCATTTCTGCAGAAGTACCATGCTCTTGTGGTGGTGGATTCTTATTCAAAGTGGCCGGAGGTTTTCCGGACTGATAAACCAAATTCTGCTTTTACAGGCCGTGCCTTGAGAAAAGTGTTTAGTAGCGAAGGAGTTCCATTACCTGTGGTAAGTGACAGTGGTTTGCACTTTTCGACTTCAGAGGTTACTAATTGGCTCCAGAGCCTTGGGTGTCGCCACCTTTTTACCGCTCCACGACATCCATGTTCTAATGGCCTAGCGGAAAACTTTGTTGCAACCTTAAAACGTTCTATTACCTCCTGTGCTCCTACTTCTTTTGATGAACTTGATCGTTGTGTTGATAACTTCCTTCTTCAATACCGTAATTGCGTGCATTCCTCTACTGGAGATACACCTGCCAAACTTCGTAAATCCAGACCATTGAGGTCAAACATGCTTGGCTTGGGGACT